GTGTGTGTGTGTGTGTGTGTGCAGGTGTGTGTGTAAGGTGTAGGTCCCACTGAGGGTGGACAAATAGGTATACATAGGGAGGTAACCTCTGACTACACCTCATGCAAATTTAATGAAAAGAATGAGGTTGATGTTTGGCAGGGGGCTGGGAAAAATAATATCCCCAGTGGAAGTTGTGGCTCCACAGGGATAGAATTCCCCATGAAGATGCTCAAGTGAAAAGGACATATCTTTACTATTGGGAATTTATCTGTCTAAGGGGAAAGACCTGTTAAATTTTATGCCTACTGAATTTTTGGCGTTTTTATGCCTACTGAATTTTGAGGGTGCTGAGAAACTACTTTTGTTTCTTTGCTTATGATTTGAGGAATTCATAGGAGCAGTTTCAAGAGTAATTGAGAATTATTTTGTATTATTTAACATCATAGACACCAAGACATCATCTTGATTGGAGTTTAAATAAAATTGGGGAACCCATTTGACAAAATGGGTGGAAATGTTCTTTCTTTCCCTATGGCTTTGATCAAAACAGTGCCCTTCTCCTGGAGAGGCAGTGGCCTATTCTACAGACTGTGATGAGTGGATGGTGGGTAGGAGAACATGTTTACCCTGTCTGCCTCTTTTCCTGGGATTTAAGAGGCAAGTTTTCCCCCAGAGCTACACCATTGTGACTGCTGAGTTTTCTCTTTCAAAGAGAGAACCCATGTAGTGTGCAAGACGCTATGTGTGGGACAGGACCCCTGCGCCCTGGTTGTATCTCTCGCGATGTACACCAGCGAGCTGCTTACAAGGCCAACTGTGGCTCACTTCAGTACACGCGAATTCCTGTGCAGCCCAAAATTGTCAGGCAGGTGCTTCACGCCGAACACAACCCGCCCAGTCAGCCAGGGTGAGCTGTCACTGTCCATTAAGGCAAAGCACTCTTCATCATGATTAATTAATATTCCCTTCCCAAAGGAGGGGAGACAGTGCCCAAAGCTGTCAGATGCCTTTGCATCAGACACACCGCACAAATACACTATGAACTGCCCACCACAGACACACTCTTCACATCTCTTTCTCTCTGACCACCGTCAAGCATGCTGTCATTATGTCTCAGCCCACATGATGCCCTGGAATGCTTGTGCTACTCCCAAATAGCAGAATTTTGGTACATTTGTTTTAGTGTGTTAAACACACAATCCACAAGGCTTTTCTTACACACAAAATGCACCAGGCAAAGTCGGGAGCCACCTGGAATTACTGCCTACCCTTGTCTGTAACACAGGACCTGCTTTAGAAGGTGCCACACAGGTCTGGAACAACCAGCTGCTGATTCTCTATACACTGATTCTCTCCCAGGCTGCTTTTCTGTCCCCCAGCAGGAAACATGAATCACTATTTCTCCTGCTCTCTGGTGCCCTTTAATCCTGATGCTATTCTTCATTCGCAATCAGCTCTGACCCCAGATACTGACCTTTTAGGGAGACATGATGCTTAATAGTTGAGAGTTTGCACACACTTTAATATTCCCACATACGCCTGCTAGTTCTGCTGCTTACTAGTTTTATAATCCTGTAATTGTGGCTGTTTTCTCTCAACTGTATTTCTTTATTGAGAGAAAAGTGATGTTAGTCCCCAAATCTTTTTGTTTTGGTACTGGGGATCAAACTCAGGTCCCTGCCCTTGCAAGACAGTCACCAGAACCACTGAGCTAAATCCCTGGCAGTCTCCAGATCTTGAAATTAATATGTGAATTGAATTAGGTGGTCCATAAGGTTCTTTAAACAGACCTTCACACAATATAGTGCCCCAAAGTATTAGCAATTTTATCACATCAAATGTCAATTTCAAATATGTCTGCACTTAGCCAGCTTTCCTGGCTCACAGGAACAGAATGTATGTTCAGTGGCCGATCCACACTAAGAGAAAATTCTGATTTCCAGTGACTGAACCTCAGCTTGCTGTCCCCAGTACATAGTCCTAAACATTTCCCTAGCTCATTCTGTGTACCCATGCAGTTCTAGAGCAAGGAAGGAAGCGGTTTTAGCCGACTCCAGTGTGAATGCAAACAGAATGTTTGGATTTAATGAGAACAGTGCTTCCTTCTGTGTTGCCCACAAAAACCCACCAGCTCTGCCTGTCCTCCTTCATGGACCCATCCACTCTCTTATATATAATGCGGCTTTCCTCTGCCAAAACAGCTTAAATTGCCCATACACATGGCAGTAGCGGGCCACCAGCATGCAGGGGCATACAGAGAACAAATGACACCCTCTTCTCTGCCCCTGCACTCCGTGTATTCCGTCCCTGTCAGCCCCACCTCACAGGTGGCTCATCCCTGCTCCTTATTAATTCATCTATGGATTTTCTTACTTTTCATTTATCTCTAAATTCTCTTCATCCATTGTGATTCTACTGGGAAATTCATGCTGGATGGCTTTCAGCTTCCTGCTAGCCAGAACAATCAGATTTAAGGGTACAGTTGTGCCAGGCTCCGTGTCCGCCAATATTCTATCCAGGTAATCAGCAGATATGGCACATCAATTTCAACTCAAGTTGCTGTGAACTGTCAGGCTAGTAAAACAAAGACACTTTCCTCCCAGCCCCGGGATGCAGAACACCTTTCCTTAACACCGTCACATCACCACTCACAGTGATGATACAAGAGCCAGCATTTCCCTGCAGAGCCTGGGCCAGAAAGACACCAAGGAGAACGGCAGATGAACAAATAAAAGTTTGCTGCATTTGGAGATCACCCTGCTTCTTTTCACTCCATGCCTGATGCCAATGTTTGGATTCAGAAAATCACTGGTGAAAATCACTGCAAATGACAAGAGATTGAGTAGTCATTCCTGTCCAGGTCCTTCATCTTTCCCACCATCAGGGGACCAATTAAAATGGTCTCTGTTTTTGGAAAGTAGTCCTGTCCAGGTCCTTCATCTTTCCCACCATCAGGGGACCAATTAAAATGGTCTCTGTTTTTGGCAGAAAACACAATTCAGATGGAGACTTTATTTCAAAGGAAGGGAGGGATAATCAGGAAGGGCAAAAAGCAACCTCAACATCAGAGCTTTTTTATTTTTTATTTATGCATGTAATTTAGAGACCAAGGAGAGAACAAGGTCCGGGAAAGTCGACAGGATGACAAAGCCTGGGCCAATGCTTGGACGTTATAGCAGCATGGGGCCAGAGGTGGCCTTTCTGTGGCCCCCATGGGATCAAGGCAAGGGAAAGCACAGCACTGCAACAAGAACACACCCTGCACATTTACATGTTTGTGGGACATTTACAGAAGAGCAAGAAATGCGGGGCTTTACATCTGCTTCCAAGAAGACAACTAGTTGGTGCTGGTGTTAAAGAATGTCTCGTAGGCCCTTGAACTGCAACATGCAAGACATAGAGTGCAAAAGAAATGCACTGAATGTTTAAATAACATGAGTAGGTTTTTAAGAGTACAAGAGTAGAATATTATACTGGTGTTTAGATACACTGAACATAACATTAACTGTGCCACCTGTAATTCGCTGAGCACTGTTGCATATCAGGCTTCGAGTTCAGCACTTTCAAAGGATGAGCTCATGTCATCCTCAGAGAAATCCTCTCCAGTACAGCTTTTCTGTTCATATTTTAAACCAAAGAGCAGTGGTTCACAGGGGGAAATGTGCCTCAAGACTACACCCATGGCACAGACAGGATTTAATCTCAGGCCCCTGGAGTCCAAAAATCTACGCTCTAAATTTCATCCAGAATGAATGTGAATCTAAGTCATCAGAATAAATATTTTCCATGATGCTATGCTTATCTTAAACATGGGCTGGAGAAAAAATAAAGAAAATCTGTGGAAGTATAAAAAAAAAGTTTTCAGTGTATTTTTATAAATATATGCACACGAGCTATGTCCTGTAATAGTCTGTCTTAATTCTGTTAAAAGAAAAACACTTGGATTCTAGATTGGCATACAGCTTTATTAATGTGCCTTGACACAACGGAGAAGTTTAGAAGCATTCCCAAAACATTATGATGAGAAAGAAGGTGGAAAACACCAAGAGAAATTGCAGTGACGGGCTTGAATTTCATAAAGGAAATTGATTTCCTTCATACTGAATGTAATGCCACTGTTTCTTGTTATACAAAGAGCCATTTGACTCCTGAATTTATCCTCAATGAAACCACACTGTCATTATGAATGCTCATATTTGAGTCTATTTCAGGATGCCTTTCAAATAGAATGTAGGTATATGATCACACTTCACCAATCCTGAAGGCATTTGTAAGTGGCTCATTATTACCCATTATAAGTCCTTCCAGGACAAGATAAGGCTGAAAAAATGGTTACAATCCACCCCAAAATGGTAACTTGCTTTGTACCTATCTGTGCCTTAAGAGGCAATTACATTTTTGGTATGTGCTTTGAAAGCTGAGGGTACATCTTCCATGTTTTTATTTTGAATTTCAGTTACTTTCAGAAACAAAGCACCACATTTCCCTGAGGAAAGTCTGGTAAGCTCTGCCTTGTTGTTGTTTGTTAATTTATTTTTCCATATTTCGGATAGAAGAATCTTTTGATCTTACCTCGAGCCAAGGCCAAAGCCATGGGAGGAGAAGGTCTTTAGCCAAGGGATGTCAGAAAGACTTTCAAGGCCAAAGGAAGTGTTTTCCTGGCAGGCAAGGACAGCCTGTCTGCTTCACTCCTTCTTCAGAGATGAGCGAGAGCTGTCCCCAGCCGCTCTTTAGAAACACCTGCCTGCCCCTTGGAGCTACTTCGAAATATCACATGAAGATTACTCTTGAGCAAACTACTGGGTTGCATTCCCAGACATTCTCCAAGTCCCTGGGGCTTCAGATCCCCTGGGCTTGGGCAAATCAACTCATAAAAATGCTTTACAGATGCCAGCATCTCCCAAGTGGAATGAGGCCATAGAGGGACCTGGCATTAAAATGATCCATCAACCACCTGTCCCTCGTTGGCCACTGGAGGTGCTGCTGTGGCACAGGGCTGAGGACGCCCGGTGACATACCTCATAGAGGTCGATCATGACATTGCCCTCAGGACCTCTGCTGCTCTGGACATTCTCCAAGGCCAGGGTGAAGTAGACCCCGCGGGTGTCTGAGATGTACAGGTTGTAGGTGTCGTTCTGGTTCCACTCTTGGACGGCTGCAAATACTTGGTTCTCATCTGTGCTGATGACGTGCATGTCCTGCAGAAAGGAAGTGAAGTAGGGATAGGCTTTAATGCATTAATCTACTGAGTGCGGCCTTGAGCATGAGCGAAGAAGGACAGAGAGCTTCCTTCTGCATATGTGGCAAGTATTAATTAACCTGTTAAGTTTTAATTACATATCTTCTTTGCCACTTGTGAGGTTAGGCAGTGAGGTCATGAGAAAATGGGACAGAGGGATGCTTAGCAGCTGAGTTATAATTTAATTGCCTTTTTAGATAACTGGAAGAACATTTGATTGGAAGAACATACATGATTTTGTGGAACCAATCATTCTGATATATGTGCCAAGCTCCAGTGTGATGCATGCTCAGAAGGCTTGCATGGGGCAGATCTGAGATAAACCTTCAGAGACAAAGCAAAAACAGAAACATGCTGCATGTCTCACTGGGGTCCACGGACCAGCAACACAGGGATCACCAGCAAGCTCCTTAGCCACCAAATCTTAGGTTCCCATTTAAGGAATCAAAACCCCTAGGGGAACAGTCTGTGCATTCAAGTTTGAGCAGCCCACACTCCAAGGCGTGCAACCCCCAGCAACCTCCCAGGAGAAAAAGTTCCATGAGAGACCCCCAAAGGGCTAATTCCCCTTCAAACTGATGACCAAAACCTTTACCCTGAGAGGTTCTGTGGGAAACCTAAAGGAACACAGGGGGCAGCATGCAGATGTTCTTTGGATGGGAATTCCACATCCTCCCTTCTCCATTCACAGGCAGGGACAGATTAAAGACAGAGTGGAGCAGCCTCACTGTCTCCCTTGGGGAGGCCTCCTCAAATGCTCCCAGCTGGCCTCTATCCTTTAGCCAAACCACTAGGTACACTACAACTTCAAAAACCGAAAAAGCAAAACAAGCAGAAGAAAAAGTCAAGAAGAGCTACACATGATCACAAACATAGACTAACAACATGTAAAGATTCTTGGCCTCTGGGTGGATTAGCAGCCACTCAAATTTTCACACATGGAATTTGCTCCATCCTCAAAGAGCCTTCAGGAGACCGGACAATCTTCTGTGGCTACAATTCTCGTCCTGGGGAATTCTCCCTAACTTCTAATCAAAACTTCTCATTTGAACACAAGCTTAGTTTCTTGGCTCTAATTTAGAAACGTGGACAGATTCTGTGTCTAGAATTTCTAGCTGCAAAACAGAGACATAGGAGCATGCCTCCCTCAGAGTGGTAAGGATAAAACCATTTATTAAGTGTTAAACACTTACTGTCTGACACTTAGCATTGCTATTTGCTCCATACTTGCTAGAAACTTTCAGTTAAGAAAGCCTTTCTATCCCTTTATAATTTAAGCAAGGTTGATTTGGCTTTTCTGTATTGTAAATGTTACAGTCCTCAGTAATACACTCAACAAAAGGTTCATTCGAATGTTTTCTTTCTTAATGGAGAGAATAAGCTGTGAACATAAGCCCCAGGGCCATTCCTTACCTTCCTTACTCCTACTGATGGACAAATCTTGCCAGGCTCTCCACTTATGACAGGGTGAAGACTAAAACTTTCACCCAGCGCTTACAGTTATCAAACAGATGTTTTCAAGTCATGCTTTGCTCCTTCTGAAGAATGCTATGTAATCCCCAAAGTTAAGTTAAACTCTCAAAAATGAGCTAGCAAGAGCATGTAGCTCCTTCCCGCCCCTGTACCTGCAGAGTGAATTTCTGCATTGGTGAATCTCTGGGGTCCTCACAGATGTCTGATTAAATAATCTGGTACTGGACCTGGTTACCTATTCTAACTCACCATGCATAGCATTCATTTTGTAGATCTGTAGCTGAAAAGCCAGATCTGTCGAGTGTTTTAGTGTAGATTGCTCAGAGAACTAGTCACAGAGAAACACACTAGAGTGATTGTGTCTAGATGTGCTAAGGACTGATCTCTTTTTCTCTTCATATAATCTAATTACATCGAACAGACTTTTTAAAACATGATGTTGGTCTGAAATATTTGAATGGAAAAATTGGACATTTTAAATGCCACCCTTATTTTTCCTTCTTGCCCAAATCCCCCTCTTCTATCATGAAAATAGTCTTTTTTTTTCACCAAATCACACAATTTAGATCAAGACGGAAACTCAGAGCTCTTCTACCGGAGCATACAAAACCTGTTGTGTGAAACACTAATTGGATTCTAACAGACTAAAAGACGGAGTGGGACTCCTTGGGTGAAATGCTTTAATTAATGCTGAATCAGAAATTCGTCTGTCTGATAGGGTAGTCATGAATCTCTAACACCCAATGAGTTAGTCTCCAGGGAAGGGACACAGAAGGGACCTTTTTTTTTTTTTTAACTTGTTTGACCAGGGGACAAAAATTTCTCTGGGCTATCAATAAGGGCATTGTATCCTAATAGATATGAGAAAATTTTATTTTGCATTTAAGATCCTTATTTTAAAAATTGGGCAAAGAAAAATTGATAAAGCAGCTGGCCAAGGTTCGAACAGAAGTTAGTGGCAGATCCAGGTCCAGATCTGGGGCTGGTGTCGCAAATCAAACAGCCTTTACACGTGTGTACCCTGGTGCCCATTGATCTTCCAACACAGGACAACCGGACCCATACTAATAATAATATTACCTTGCTCTTATAGAGTATCTGTCCTCCAAAATGCTCACAGCACTTTCATATGTATTGCTTCACTCGTCTCCCTTGAGTGGCTCAGGATGTTCTCCTAGTAGCCCAGGGAAGGAAGACTATCGCTCTCTCTCTGACTACAGGACTACGCACTTTTAACAGCAATGGTAATGTCCTCCCTTGCCAATTCTGTACCATTGTGTCATTAATTTTTTAAAGCACAGCTCAGGGGAACTCTTATCTTTCAAGAGCTGCATACAATGGGAGCAGATAATTAAAATTTGAGCATGGAAATGCTGCTTTGTCTCTGTTCCTTTGGTTGGCAAGCTGTGTTCCTTCTCAGTGGCAGCCATCCCGGCCCTGACAGAGGCCAGGGGACACACGCCCCTGTGCAGCGAGTCCCCCCACCTACCCTGGGCTTGTCTTTGAAGGTGTCATGAGGTTGCAATGAAGCCTCTGGTTGCTTTCTATAATAAACACCCACCTGGACCAAATAACCCATTCCTTTGCTGTCCTAGCTCCCATTTCGTGAGAACAAGGTAAATTAACCACTGCATTCTACCCTCGGAGCTCAAATGAGGTCGCATCATGGAACAGGGTCCTTTGGGAGAGCGGAGGGAGGGGAAAGATGCTGATTCAGGTTCAGAGTCAAACTTCTTCTACATTGGCTGGACGCTGCTGGGGGGGCCATCAGCAGTGATCAGTGTGACAGCTCTGAACAAGCAATGCAGCCTCCCCAGAATCCTCAGTAGTGGGCCCCTAAAAGCTTCCTTGATTTTATACTTCTGTTTCTGGGACTCCTTAGGTGAAAGGGGTGGTTCCACTCAATGTTGCCAATAGTACATCAAAGGTAGGGGGCTGACAGTGACGGTACATTTAAACAAGAGAAGTGATGGTTCAAACTCAAAGGCATAAGCATTTATAATCTCTACTGCGGGTGTCAGAAAACTAGAGTTCTCGCCTCGATTCTGCAGCAAATGTTAGCCAAGATTTATTCCACTCAAAGCGTATGCTGCCCTAAGAGCATTTCACGAAGGACTCAAGGGCTGTTCACTGACTTGGTCTCAATTCCACGGGCCTCTTGGGCCAAAACGTCTCACTGCACCGAGCATAATTTTTGTTCTTAATGGTGCAAATCTCACATGCTAAGCATTTCTTTCTTCCTTTTTTTGGGAGGGGGGGCAAACAAATCACCATTTATTTTAGTACTCCGGAGTAGGAGGGAACGCTGATTTATTTACTGAGGTAATTTGTCCATTTTCCTCAGGAACTTTCTTAGGAGATCATCAAGGGTAATTTTAAGAACACTCTGTTTTCTCCATCCAATTCTCATCTAAGACATAATTCACCGTCCTACATTCTTATCTTTTTTTAGGTTAAAAAAAAAAAAAACAACTAAGCCAAACCAAGAGCGAGAAGCATTTAAATGTGTACACCCACACAGACGTACGGCTCAGGGCAGTACCTCAGGGCAGTACCTCAGTCCTTAATCTTCGAGTGGCTGAAAATAGTATGAACTCCTGACGTGGCCATCGCCGGGTGGCGCTGACTGCCTGTGCGGTGTTACCCCTAAAGGGCCATTCCCGCCCCTTCCACTATTGGGGTAAGGGGCAGAGTTGTGGGTGTGAGAGAATTCTGCCCCGGAAACGCAGAGCAGACTATCACCACCGACTCTCCGGAGAGAGGCGTCTCACTATGCCCCGTGTTGTTTCTGTCATAATTCCCCGGGGCGGCTGGCTGGCGTGGGGCCAAGACCGCAGAGCATGAAAGCACTCAAAGCTTATGCTGCCCTAAGAGCATTCCACGAAGGACTTAAGGGCTGTTCCCCGACTTGGTCTCAATTCCAAGGGCCTCTTGGGCCAAAACGTCTCACTGCACCGAGCATAATTTTTGTTCTTAATGGTGCAAACCTCACATGCTAAGCATTTCTTTCTTCCTTTTTTGGGGAGGGGGGGGCAAACAAATCACCATTTATTTTAGTACTCCGGAGTAGGAGGGAACGCTGATTTATTTACTGAGGTAATTTGTCCATTTTCCTCAGGAACTTTCTTAGGAGATCATCAAGGGTAATTTTAAGAACACTCTGTTTTCTCCATCCAATTCTCATCTAAGACATAATTCACCGTCCTACATTCTTATCTTTTTTTAGGTTAAAAAAAAAAAAAACAACTAAGCCAAACCAAGAGCGAGAAGCATTTAAATGTGTACACCCACACAGACGTACGGCTCAGGGCAGTACCTCAGGGCAGTACCTCAGTCCTTAATCTTCGAGTGGCTGAAAATAGTATGAACTCCTGACGTGGCCATCGCCGGGTGGCGCTGACTGCCTGTGCGGTGTTACCCCTAAAGGGCCATTCCCGCCCCTTCCACTATTGGGGTAAGGGGCAGAGTTGTGGGTGTGAGAGAATTCTGCCCCGGAAACGCAGAGCAGACTATCACCACCGACTCTCCGGAGAGAGGCGTCTCACTATGCCCCATGTTGTTTCTGTCATAATTCCCCGGGGCGGCTGGCTGGCGTGGGGCCAAGACCGCAGAGCATGAAAATAAAAAAGTGCAGGGAGACTCAGAAAGTTCATGATGTCCTCTGTGCAACTTAAAGGCTCCAAAGCTGAGGTATAATTTTTAACAGGTCCTGCAGAATCCTCTTCTTACAAATCTCCCACACCCATCTCCCTTGCTCTAGGATTAAGCCACAGTATCTTAACAAATGTAAAATACACCAGAATGGCTGGGAGGTCTCAGGGTGCAGAGGAGTCCCCGTGTGAGCGCGACCTCCACCAGGTGGCGCTGCTCATCAACACAGGACGCCGGCCCTGGGAGAGGGTCTCTGCCCTATTTCAGGGGAATGGCTCCAGGATGCCAAAAAGTCCCGCTCTAAAGACACATATCTAAGTCTCCTTCGAAAAAAAGAAAGTAGAGATTGACCCGTGTGCGCCGCACCCCTCATTAAACAATTTGTCCTAACAGCAGACGGAGGTACAAGTGGGTCGTGCCTATTGCGCTGGCAAAACACACGTTTACTTTTGCGTATTGATAGAATGTCAATGCACACTGCTAGAAAGTCTTCACTACTGAAAAAAGCAAACCTAAATCAGTTACTAAGTCAGAAGCTCTAATAGCAGGAATTCCACAGGGAGAAGGAGAGAGAAAGACCAAGCAAGGAGGGCAGTGAGATCGGCAGAACTGGACGGTAAGGGAGCAGGAATCTGAGAAACAGAGATGGGTGGGAGAGGAGAGACTGCGAGCGGGAAAGGCGCGGGCAGGGCGGGCAGAGGCAGGACGCACCTTGGGCAGAGCGTATTTGGGAAGCTTCATCCGGGCGAAGGCGCTCCTCCGGTAGGACACGTAGTAATGTGGTCTTCCTCCCGACGTCAGCTGCGGTGTGAACATAAGGACGTAAGCAGAGGTGCAGCGCAGGTTTCAGGTCACGGCGGAGCCTGGATGGAAGGGGTGGGTACCCCCCAGGAGCACAGCCCGACGACTTCGTAAAGCGGCATTTGTTCAAAGGTAACTCACACGGGAGGCGCTGGTCAGAGGCCCAAACCGGACCTAACACTCCACTCTTCCAGCTGCATGGGGCCTTAAGGCCAGGAATCACGCGCAGTTACTTTCCTCCCCAGTAATCTAGCCTCAGGGGACCCTGGCTTATTGTCACTCGGCAGCTGGGCTTTCCAGTCCCAAGCCCACGGCCACACCTGGCAGAAACGGTCAAGCTGCAGAAGGCGGGGTAGTGGCGCTCACGTCTCGAGTCTGACGGAGTCACCCTGACTGTGACCACGTTCCCCCGGCAGAAGCACTGGCACGCCAGGGGGAAAACCAAGCCATCCCTGAAATTCACTTTAGATCTCTTTGGAAAGAAAACTGAAGACTGACCGTGCTGTCTCGGACACGCAAGCCAGGAGGTGAAGAAAGGAAAGAAGGACTATGGTCCCCTCTTAGGAGCACCATGTAGGGGTACAGTCAAAGGTCCCCTACGCATCTCTCACTGTTGAGCAGCCGTCCTGAACCTGTGCAAAAACCTGGAGTTCAAATGTCACCGGGGTCTGCGCGCTCAGAATGGCGACAAACGCTGAAGTGACCATTCCTCAGGAATTGGGAAGGTTACCGCCCTACTCACCAGCAGGGGGCAGATCACCCCTTAGCCCAGCGATGGGTGAGAGAGTCATGGCCATCGTGGCATGGAGAGAAAATACGTGAGCTCGGAAACACAGAGCTCAGTTTCGTATGCAAGTCATTTATGTGGACTGTAAACTTACTAGAAACCAGAAGAGGTTCCTGGGAGAGGTCCTGTGTGAGAAATGAATGAGATAGAACCAAACTATGCGACTATTTGGAAGTCACTTGAAATTATCAGAATATTCTTTACGAATTTCCCTGAAGGAAAAAGGAAATGGTGGGCATGCATAATCATGTGTGACACATTTAAATATTACACAGGCTGGCGCTAGACATTTTGAAAAACAGCTTCATCAACACAATTTTCAAACATTCCAAATCACAATTTCCTATCTATCTACATGTCTACATATATATAAGTGTCTGGAGTGTGTCTCAGTTGTGCTTCTACTTATACACACACAAGCTATTATTTAGCAATTATACCTGCGTCAGTCATTTTTGAAATGGACAGTGATAAGTGAATGCCTAAGTGCACTGTCCAAACAAGACTAGATTTTCCATAACTGCTGCAAAGAAGCAGGGCACACTCACAGTCCTCTTCTAACTCCCCAGGAGACCCTGTTCTCTGGGGGTGGGAGCCCAGGTGAGCACTGTTCAGGCTTTGTTTCCATCTCCTCTTCAAAGGCCAGGACAAAGCTGGCTGATGTCATCCTGGTCACTGTGTCCCCAACCCCCAGGCCCCCACAGCTTCCCCTGCTGGCCTGTCCTCTACTGTTAAGCCAGTACTGAGGGCTTGACTGGTCCACGTTCCTCGGTGACAGGAGAATGACACATCTACCCAGCCCCTGCTGATGCGAGGAGCAGGTGGGGACGAATGGAGCTGAGACCGTGGTAGTGACGCGGTCTCACTAGTCTAAGCAGTGTCCTCCTGGCCTGTCAAGTCCTGCGCAACCCGCCTGGCAGATACGAGTCCCTGTCTGTTAGGGGAGACGCTGCCATCTTTCTCCCATCCCATCTTTACTCTTCAGGCCTCCAGCAGGTGAGAAGGGACTGCAACAGACCCGGGAAGAAGGCCACCACGGTGGAGACAGCCCGCAGAACTGCTCCTGCTCACCTGCACAAACACGTAATCGTCCTGGACGATCAGAGAGTCTGGGTCGATGTAGCCTGGGAACGGCTTATTTCTGTTTGTTTCTGTGCAGTTCTGCATCCTGCAAGTTAGGTACTGTGAATCTGGAAAAGCAGAATGGGGTGAGGGTGTACACAAAGGGCTTTAGAATCAGTGGATATTCCTGGATTTCCTTCATTATCTCCACATCTCTCAAAAAGCCCTGCAGTTTTTCAAGTACATCACTGCTATCATCGTTACTGTTAAAATTATTATCGTTATGTTACCCCTTTGCTATCGATGCTGCTCTCTCTTGATGCCTCACAAATGCTTTCCATGACAGAGTACCAAATATTTGTCCTTTATTTTTCTCTCCCAAGGGAAGCCTTCTGGAAAAGTGGCAGTGCTGCTTGTGGTTTCACAGTACTGTCTTTCTCTTTAGTGGCCCTTGCTTCCAGGCCCTGACCTGGACTGATGGACAAGCGACACACGCAGGTAACCATGAACCACCTCTGGTGGGAGATGGACCGCTCTACCTGAGAAAATCTTTATTAAGATGAAGGTGTTTCTTCTACTATGGGCTAAAAGTGAAACACAATAGAGAGATTCCCAAGTTAGCAACACCATTCTTCTCATTTCCCAGATGAGTACACCGAGATCCTGGCTCTCACCGGAAACTGGACGCCAGCTGATACACGCAGCGTCAGTGGTGCACACTCACACCCGGCCCGTCCCTGTGTGCTGTCCTGCTTTCCAGTCACAGATACTCAGGACCCCATGCACTGTGTCTGTCCTACTTCACACCGCTTCTGCCTCGCTCGCTTGGGTTAAATTCAAACCCACCGCTCCGACTTCCTACCTCTTCCCAGGCTCCTCTTTTTTATTTTTCCTGTGGTATTCCAGACTCTATCCACTTTTATGGTCAGGAACTTAGCCACACCTTCCACCACCTTAGAAATGTTTCATTTGTTCTCTCTCTGCCTAAAAAGCTTCCCTTACAGGCTGTTTCCAAAGAAGCTTGTGGATTTCAGCTCACTTTGGCACCTTCCATGGTTACACTCTAGTATACACCCCCCTGTGAATTCCTCCCACAGACATTATTAAAATATAAAATTACTTTATTATTTATTTCTGTATACTACTCAAATTACAACATAATTTCCAGGAAGATACTCCATGAAGACAGACGTCTTTTTCTTCTCTTATTTTTTCTCATTTGTTTCTCCTATCTACCTATCTATCTATCTATCTGTCTATCTATTCCTTACCTACCTACCTACCCATCCATTGATCTATTTTTTGCTCTTTGCTGTAGACTCAGGTCTTGGTACTCAATAACACTCCTGGCATATAGTAGGCAATAAATGAAGGTCTGCTGGAATAGGCCTCTGTACTGGAATAAATGTTTCTGAATAAAAATAAGTTATTTTACTTGGTTTTGATGTTGAATGATGCCCGAGTCAATTTGAGTTTTAAGAGCTCAGAGAACAGTGCCTCTTCCAGACACACGCAGCAGGAGAGGATCATGTAGGTGCAGAGCGGATGGGAGCAGCGCGTGGGGACGGAGGTGAGGATGTGCTAAACACTTCTCCTGAGGACCTGGGCAGTGTAAAGCTTCCGGGAGCACCACCTCCACATCAGAAGGAGGCTATTGCTGTGGGCTGTGGGGCGAGTGCCACGCCCACTGACACCATGTGACCAAGACTGATGTCCTTGAGGGTGACCCCCGAGGACAGGGACAGAGACAGCCTGACTCACAGCACCTCTGTGCAGCCTCCCGTGGGTCTGGGACGGCTCCTCTGTGCTCTCCCCCATTTAGTGCTTGTAAAAATACCCAAATCCGAAATGTAGGCTCTCCGTGCCCTCTTCTCCGGCTCCCTTTTCACATATTCATGTGTTAGAATACAATTGAAGATATTTTTCCTTAAAGACAATCCATTTCCAGAATCTTTCTTCCTCTGACTCACAAAATTTCACCTTGCAGGGCTTCAGTCCTCCCGATTCTCTAACTTCACCTTCCTTTTCCGCTTTTAAGCAACTCTACTTTTTCACAAGGTAATTTGGAGTCATGGAAACAAGAAGGATTTGGGACTGTGAGAGCTGGGCTAAGTTCTGGGGTGGCCATTCATTAGCTGCAGAGTTCACGAGAAATCATTTCACCTCTCCAAATCCTGACTCCTTTATCTATGAAGCAAAATTAACAATATCTGCGGTGTAGCAGATTAGCTACTAGATAAAATTAATCAAATGAATAATGTTAAATATTTCGCAGTTCAAACTTCTGAACATGTTGTTACTGTCAAACAGGTTCTTGCTTTCTTTTCCACAATGATAAAATCAGTTTGGGGCACACAGTAAGTCCTTAAAAAGATTGAACACGGGTTGGGGATTTAACTCAGTGGTTCCGCTGCCTGCCTTGCAAGGACCTGAATAAAGTGAACTCGGATAGTCTAGCTGCATGGAAATATAGTTAGCGAACCGGCCAACAGCCACTCTTCTCTAGTTGCTGAAGATACCAATGCCAGACCTGTTGCCATTCTGTCCCCCGTGACTGGGAATTTCACAGTATAAGGATTCATCTTGTTGAGACAAAGCCCGCTCAAGACTGTCCGAGTCTCCTCGTCCCTGGTTAATTTAGAAGAGGTCATTCCAAACCTGGGGCTGTCACAGGAGAAGTGGGGAAAGCACCCGGAGGTGCTGTCATACAGCCCCGGTGAGGCCTTGGGCCTGCTCTGGCCTTCCTGTGAGCTGAAGAAGCGGTCTTATACATAGCTCATGCAAGGAGTGTGGAAACGACAGACAGAGGGTGTTTCCAGATGGCGTCCTCGGGCTGCTGCTGCACCAAGGCTAGACCCACTCTGCCTCTGTGATCTTAGGCGGGATAACGAAGAAAGACGACAGTTGAAGGAACTAAGTCAGAGGTTTCTCCCTACGGAGTTATTGGACTGCCAATTACGAACACAACTTCCATTATCGTTTCGTCTCTAGAACTGACACATAATGAAGGCATAGGAACGGAGAGACAATCCCTGTTTAATTTTCAAAAGTATCTACCATTTTTTCTTAACAGCTGTATCTCTTCTTCACAGATCCCTTATCAAACGTAAGATGGAAAATGTAAACACACATAATATGTGTGATTCATCTACACTGAAATTATAAATCTGAGGCGTGGGGGAGAAAATAAGAATGCATAGAAAGTAACACTAGTTGAGCATCTATCGGCCAAACAGTCTTGAAGGTGTCTGTATTAATTTAGTGCATTTAATCCTCACAACACTACAGACTAAACCAACTGCTTTTGTCACTAGAGTGAACCTCAAAGAGATAGAGACTTTGAAGAGATGCAGTGCCGTACAGGGTTTTCATTCAGTTGGCCTGACTACAACTTTTGCACAGTGCGTTTGGAGTCAATTGTTAATAAAATACATTTTGTCTCCTCTCTGAGCATCAACAGATATACCTAGACGCAAGATGAAAACACCTGCAAATTAGTATTTTAAGCTGTAATTAGACAAACTAGCTCAAGATACTGAAAAATGTCTTTGATCTCAGGTTCGTGTCTGAGAATTCCAGCTAAGGAGATGTTAATTGGTGTAAGGATTTGGCCACCTGGATGCTCTTTGGAGTGCTGTTAGGCAATAAAAAAGAAAACTAGAGAAAACAAAATGGGCAACAACAGAGGAATAACTAATTATCCAACGTCTGCTCTGCTGCCGAAATTCCTGCTTCCACGAGGGACTGCTTAATGAATTTTATATAATAAAAGGAGCTCCCCCATCACCTACATCGCATCACTGTTCACTCCTTAGGTTTGAAAAATCAGCATTGGTTTTGAAAACATTATCTCTCTAGGAGGCTGGGCAGATACAGTACGTGCACTCTAAATAATCCTGGTAGCTTTTCAATCTAAAATTATTCCAAAATGAAAGTTTTTTAAAAGTAGGTTACCAAACTATGTGCATTATGCATCCATGTTTTTTGCAAGTTGCAAATGAATAAAACATGTACATGACAACAACGGAAAGGCAGTGGTGTGGGGAGACTTGTGGGGAGATTTGTGTACAAATCGCTCGTGCAGTATTTCTGGGCCAGGAGAGCGGTGGGGAACCGGCGGGCTCGTGCAGTCCGCTGCGTCTAATTTCCCTGCACTTCTCTCTTCCTCCATTTGCCGAACTGCACTCTGTGGCTGAACTATGATCTAAACCCGTTTTGTTTTGGAGCTGAGAATTATAAGGTACGGTGTGCAGCTAGGTGACATTAAAAAAAAAAAGCCCCCAGAAGAAGTCTTGAAACCACTTCTTGCTCAGAATGTCTCAAAGTAAAATGTACAAGCTGAAGGGTAACTGATCACTTCTGAGCTGACTGCCTGGCAAAGTGCTCCTGGTTTGTTCCCTTTCTCCTCCTAATGGAAACAGAAAGAAATTGGCTGTCATTCATAGTGAGGGACCAATCACGCCTATTCCCCCCTGGGGCTTGCTGGAATCGCATTAAGGATGATGAACTCTTTCCATACCCAATTCTGGTGGGTGTGTCATGCCATTCCATGGGAAGCATCTTGTAATTTGGCATTAATTAATGTCAATTAATGTATGTGACTGCTAGACATTAGAATTAATTTCATTGCTTTTCTTACACAGATGTTTTCCTTGCCACAGGTAATTAGGACACCGCGCCGCTCTCTTCAAGCATTCTCACTATCTGCGCCAGCTGCTGTGTGGAATAAATGAGATCCTTCCCCTCAGAACCTGTGCCCATCTAGAGAAGGGAAGCTGCCTTTCAAAAGCAGGGTTCAGAGCAGAGGAAGGGGCTTCAGTGCAGCCCAGTGTGGCAGCCTTGAAAGGCTCTGCAGCTCTCTCAGGCTCTGCAAACCCAGATCCAGGGATGGGAACACAGGGAATGCACCAACCAGCAGCTGTGACAATGCAGACCTTGGTCCTGAAGTGCACCGGGGCCCACTGAGACCATGCCCCAGGAGTGGTGGCTGCTCATTGAGCTCCCTTTAACCCCTGGTGCTTCTTCCTGGCCACAGTTACCACCTGCAAGGACCACAGGTGTTTCTGAGGCAATATCTCTCCACATTTTCAATTTTTTTGCTTGGGTTAAAGTGTTTTTTCTTCCATAT